TCTTAGCAGGTACTAGCCCCGCCCACCCACCCTGTCTTTTCTTAGAGGGTATGTCATCTGCCAAAATCATTCTTAAGTAGTGATGGATCTTTTACAAAAAATTATCGAAATTTGGAAACATTACGAGCTTTCTTATATGCACAAAGGAGGAATTTTGAACATCTCTAGTGTTTAGTCAAAAATGTTCCTAATAATTTAGCTTCTCAGGGAAATCAATAAATATTTTTGTAAATTACACCTGAACGTGCTCGCTGCGCTCGCATTCTAAACGTTCCTTTTTTGAAAGTTTTGTCTCAGAAGTATTCAAGAACGTGTTTTAGCGAAGCAAATAGTTTGGGTTCACTTATTATAACAAGTCCCTATATTTTAACAATCAGACTCTGAGAATGCGAGCGCAGCGAGCACGTTCAGGTTTTCTATAGTTTCGAAGTCACAGTTGTTTTTAAGATTCACTTTTTTGTAGAGGAAAAATTCATTTTTCTATCAATTAATTTAGCTTCTCAGCTTGCTGCACACGCTCGCTGCGCTCGCATGCAAAGCCTCCTTTTTTGCAATTTAGTCAAATAGAACTGATTAGGAAAGAAAGCAAGCCAGAGAGTCAAGCTGTCTAAGTTTTATTATAATAATAAATTTCTAAACTTTATCACTTTTAAAAAACAAACTATTAGAACGCGAGCGCAGCGAGCACGTTCAGGTTTTTTTATACTGTTCGTTTCGTAATTAATTCAGTGTCGTAAAAATATTTACAAATGAACGGTCAACAAGGCGATTTAGTTTTTATTATATTAATTCTCGAGATCTCCCTGTCAAGGTAAATTGCTCTGAAAAAATCAACATTTAAAATGCGTGCGCAGCGAGCACGTTCAGGATTTTTCAATTCCACAGACTTAATGATCAACAATTTCTAAACTTCCATTTTTAAATAACAAAAATGTTTCTAATAATTTAGCTTCTCAGGGATACCAAGAAATATTTTTTTAAATACACCTGAACGTGCTCGCTGCGCTCGCATTCTAAACGTTCATTTCTTGGAGATTTGTTTCAGAAGTATTCAAGAACGTGTTTTAGCGAAGCAAATTGTTTGGGTTCACTTGTTATAATAAGTCTATATTTTAACCATCACACTATTAGAATGCGAGCGCAGCGAGCACGTTCAGGTGTAATTAAAAAATATTTCTTGGTGTCTCTGAGAAGCTAAATTATTCGGAACATTTTATTGTTTAGAAGTCACAGTTGTTTTTAAGATTCATTATACTAGCCCCACCCACCCACCCTCTCTTTTTTTAAAGAGTATCTCATCTGCCAAAATTACTCTTATCTTAGCAAGTACTAGCCCCACCCACCCACCCTCTCTTTTCTGAAAGAGTATCTCATCTGCCAAAATTACTCTTATCTTAGCAGGTACTAGCCCCGCCCACCCACCCCCTCTTTTCTTAGAAGGTATGTCATCTGCCAAAATCATTCTTATCTTAGCAAGTAGTGATGGTTCTTTTACAAAAAATTATCGAAATTTGGAAACATTACGAGCTTACTTATAATGCACAAGGCAGGAATTTTGAACATCTCTAGTGTTTAGTCAATTTTTAAAATCACATTCCTAAACAATAAAATTGTTCTTAATAATTTAGTTTCTCAGGAACACCAGTAAAGATTTTATTAGACCCGAGAGGGCTCGCTGCGCTCGCATTTTAATGTTCTTTTGCAGCTTTATTCTCATAGAAGTGTGTAGAAAAGAGTCTCAACGAAGTTGATTGGGTTCTGTTGTAAGAATAAATATATACACTTTAAAAACACACCCTTAGAATACGAGCTCAGCGAGCACGTTTAAATTGTCTCCCCAACTTTAACAGATAATCATGAAAATTTTTGAGGTTCACCTTTTTTAGATAGTAAAAATTCTGTTATTAATAATTTAGGTTCTCAGGGACTCTGAAGAGTAATTTTTAACACGTAAACGTGCTCGCTGCACTCGCATTTTTAATATCATTTTCAAAATAACGTGGATACAAAAGTGTTAGGGAAGGACTGTATAAACTCTTTAGACGGATTTTTGTAATTGTTATCTCAGTATCAAAACTGACATTTTTTTAAGAAAATCTCGCTTGGAGCTTTATGAAATCAAACTTTGCAATTCAATGAAGACACTAACTGAGATTTCCTTCAAATTTAAAAAAATTTGATTCTCCATTTATCAAAATCTAAATCAAAAAATTGATTTGATAAAGCAAAGTCCGATTTCGACTGTGTGAATGAATTTAGATCAATTGTTTACAGCACAAAAACTGTTGAAAAGAATTTTAGATATTTCGAAGTGCTCAATTTCGCAACATTCCGACTTCAAAACACGTGTAACATACCACCTGAATGTATGTATCTCTCCGAAAAATGCGGAAGTCCAGCCACCGCACCAAAAAAATCTTAAATACCATTTTTCAAAACAAGATGCTCCGATGATTCACAAACTGTCCTCTAAACCCGCACCATTCTTCGACCAACCATAATTACATGTTTGTCTTCCGTGTTTTTTGACTTTTTCTCCATCAAAAACAATAATTAATCACTTACAGCAACAAATAGCCCGTCCATTATAACACTTTGATAAATGAAAAACACGTAGCGTGTAAATTAGAAAGGTTATCCATTGTCGGCAAATCTCCTCACACGAGCCTACAGTGAGCAGTTCTTGAAGATCCTTACATGGCCGGAGTGGGCGTGCGAAATAAAAAATCCCCGGCAATTAGCGCTAATAAAGATTTATGTCGGTATTTCGGATGTGTTCATAAATTTGTAAGTTATTGCAATGAACTTTAAAAATATATCAGTGAAACGCTTTGGTAGCCCATAACCGCGGGCTGCAGATTAGCCAACATTCAAAAGTAGATCCTGGTGCAAGAAAATGTAGCAGATGTGCAACCGTTTCCAAATGATATTTTTCACGTACGAGGATCATAACCTTTAATTTCTCCCTGTATATCAGCGAGTTTAGGCGCTATTAAACTTAGATTATGTTGCGCATAATAACGCAAAAAGTAGACTTTTCTCCAGACGGGTTATGTAAGGAAGTGTGCACTTGCAATTGCATAGTCGTGTTGATATCCTTCTAAGGAAATATCCAACTGTCATAAATGTTAGCCAGGAACGATTATCGACTCAATTCTGACCAAACGAAAGACAATGATTGTCGTTAATAACAGATCACGGATTCCGCAAATGCCACACGATTGTTAGCTTTAATTTATGGAAGAATTAGCACTTCGCTAATAAATTCGTTAAACTTCAACGCAATTAAGGTTACTCCTATTCCGATGTTGCAAGTGCAGGTCTTGATAGTCGTGATAATGGGTTAGACAAGACAGGAACATCGATTATAATATTGACGGTGGAATTTAGCCGGTCGACCCACACTCTTGGCCAATTTATGATGAATGTGATAGTATAATCGTAAATTATTTATTGTTTGAGCTGATGAGGCTTTCTTTATGTCTTCATTACAACTCGGACGTGGGGCACTTCAACACAGTAGCTCGCGCCGCATTGTAAAACAGGATGAAGGAATTTGAGCGATGAGTGTTGACGAATGCTCTTTGTGAATCGTTGCAACACCGAGTTGCACCTTGGTTGCTATCACCACCGGCGATTTGGGTTAATAAGATGACTTTGCTCGAGAGAAGGGTGACGGTTTCTTAACGCAATCAGGGTGGATCTTGCTGAAAATACCAACGCTCTTTTTTCCGCCACCTTTTCACTCTTAATACCAAAATCGCGTGGTCATATTACATAAATCTTGCGACGAAATTGGAGAAAGGCTCATTCAAAAAATCACCTGCTCTAAATCATTACCATAATTACACGATGACTGCGAAAAAATGCATGCTCGTAAATAAACACGAAGAAGAAGCCTCGGTTTGTAAATGGCCATAACTGAGCGGTGATGACACGTTTATGTATCGTTTTTAAATGAAAACAATAAATTTCGCCTAAACTGCTCATTATGTATGCAATAGCGCGGTCATCGTTTTAATCCGAGAAGGTTACAAAAGGTGCCGTTCAACTTTAACCGAAGTGTGCGGTAATTAATCTAATGGTAATTTAATTACGAGACCTATTCAAGATTTTCGCCTAAACCTGACCCAAATTAGGCGGTTGAATAACACAGGAAATATCATTTATAATCGTCTTCGCTAAGGATGGTCATTAAAGACTAAACGATTTTTCCGACGAACATTAGCAAATTGATTCGGTTACGTAATTGTCCAGTTATTAATTACCCACAAGATATTAATTTGACGATTTGGAAACAACGGAAAATGTCAGGTTGGCAGCTACCGAGTTCTTTCCAGTGTGTATTTAGTTAGATTCCGAGAACTAACGTCGTGCATTGTGTGTGGATCGTTATGTAACGACTGTATAAAAACTGTCATAAATAAAGTGTGTATCTCTGCAATCCAGACAATTCTTATTACCTTCATCCTGTCGGCGTATAACTTTTCAGCAGTAACCTTTACAACATGCTTCACCGATGAGGGCATGAATACAAATACAATGCGTCCTTGAGTTGAAATCAGTCAAGTAACATACTTTCAGTTTAGTAACTAAAGCATGCAAAAATAGCAGCCACACCCTTGGCAATTAAGCTTCTTTCCGTATATTATTTAATCACGAAGAGAATCCTGTTATTCCGCTGTCCTTGGCCATAGCAAAAAACTCAAATAAATAACGCATCTATCAGACGACGAGCCTCCTGTTCGAGTAAATCGTACATTGTTGTCTGCCTTGGGCATTCTAATCAAAACTTTAACACTTCCGCACCTCTTAAATTATGCACGATCGGGCGAACATTCTTCTTTTTGTGTTTTACTACTTAATATCCCTTTGAAGACATACTAGAATAGAACTATATAGAAACAACAAAGGTCCACAGTGTGATCCTTGGGGGATAGTAAAATCGATTTAGCTATGTGGTATGCCAGAAAATACTCATCTTGTCTCTTTTTTTGCAGGTCTTAGCAGCATTGTGCTGCTTAGTAGCAGTAACTTATGCTGCGATAGCACCAGGCCAAAACGCTTATCTTCCTCCGAAGAACGGGTACAGATACGACAAACCATCAGTGCCATTCCCGCCGCCTCTACCTCCAAGACCCCCAGCGCCTACGTCGCCACCTTATAGGCCACCTGCTCCCACTCAACCACCTTATAGGCCACCTGCTCCCACTCAACCACCATACAGACCACCCGCGCCCACTCAACCACCCTACAGGCCACCAGCGCCCACTCAACCACCCTACAGGCCACCAGCACCAACTCAACCTCCCTACAGGCCACCAGCGCCCACTCAACCACCCTACAGGCCACCAGCACCAACTCAACCTCCCTACAGGCCACCCGCGCCCACTCAACCACCTTACAGGCCACCCGCGCCCACTCAACCTCCCTACAGGCCACCAGCGCCTACTCAACCACCCTACAGGCCTCCAGCGACTCAACCTCCCTACAGACCTCCCGCGCCTACTCAACCCCCCTACAGACCAACCTCTCCCCCTTATCAACCCTCGAGACCCACCCCGCCTCCGTTCCAGCCCTCGAGACCCACTGCTCCCCCATACCAACCACCAAAGTTCGTACCAACATCGCCACCGCAAAGACCAACAGGACCACCGTATCTGCCACCCAAGACTCCTGGACCTACGTCGCCTCCGTTTAGACCATCGCCAACCCCTCCACGACCCACACAGCCTCCATTCCGTCCAGGACCGTCTCCAACCTACAGGCCAAACGTGGAACCAACGTACAGACCAACGTCGCCTCCGTTTAGACCGGGACCAGCACCCACGCAGCCTCCGTTTAGACCAGGACCGGGGCCTACGCCGCCACCATTCCGACCATCGCCTGGACCGGGACCGGGACCTGCGCCCAAGCCCTACGATGAAAATGTAATGTTGAGTTGTGGGTGTATCCTGTATTAACCTTTTTCTTTAGGAGCATCTTCGCCACCCTCACGTCCCAGGAACACCCTTCGATTTTAACTACGCTGTTCGGGATACTGAGTACGGTAATGATTATTCCCATAATGCGGTCAACGATGGGGATCAAACTAAAGGAGAGTACCGAGTACAACTACCAGATGGGAGGACCCAAGTGGTCAAGTATACCGCTGATTGGGCTACTGGATTCCATGCTCAGGTACGCTTCACTGGGTTTTGTAAACAAGTGTTATTGGGTTGATTTTAGATAAGCTACCAAGGCCAGCCGAGTTATCAGCAAGGACGCCCTCTGAGACCCAGTGGGCCTTCTGGTCCAGGACCTAGCGGCCCTTCGATACCTTCTTATCCCAGTAGGCCAAGTACCCCGTCTTACCCCAGCCAACCGAGCAGACCGAGCACCCCATCGTTCCCTAGCGTACCAAGCAGACCCAGCACTCCGTCGTTCCCCAGCCAGCCCAGCAGACCCAGCACCCCTTCGTTCCCTAGCAGACCCAGCACCCCGTCGTTCCCCAGCCAACCTAGCAGACCCAGCACTCCGTCGTTCCCAAGCCAACCCAGCAGACCCAGCACTCCGTCGTTCCCTAGCAGACCCAGCACCCCCTCGTTCCCCAGCCAACCCAGCAGACCCAGCACTCCGTCGTTCCCTAGCGGCCCCAGCAGACCCAGCACTCCGTCGTTCCCGAGCGGAGGAGGGTATCCCAGTGGCAGACCATCCGGGCCTTCGTTCCCAACACCGTCCAGGCCGCCCAGTTTTCCGTCCATTCCTAGCAAGCCCAGCGGTTCCACGCCGGGTCAGCAGTATGCACCCAATGGAGGTTACCAGTACTAAATGAGTTAGCAGATGGTAAAAACACACTGCCGTTTGAGTGTTCGATTGTAAAAATTATTCTTTGGTCTATTTTAACTTTTTAAATGCAAATTTGGAGAGGATTTACGATTAATGATTTTTGTTATTTGTTTGTACAGGCAGTACTCATAAGTGTAGTGTATATTTTTAAGAGTACTAATTTTAGATACTATTTATTTTAGTAGCTACTTTGCTTCAAATATTTTACAGCTCTTTTTGTAATTATGTGTGTAATTAGAATACTGAAAGTGTTTTCAGAATTTGTATTCATTTTCGACTACTCGGTATTTCTTATTGAAATGTATTAATCTGTATTTATTTTTCGATACCACTGTATTATATTGTATTATAATACTGATTGATTTGTAAAATACATTCTATTTTTTATATAGCTGAATTTTAATCTTTATGTCTGACAGAGAAACTGTTAGTTGCCTATCCCAAAGCTAGATCATAGATTAATATAGATGCGACATACAGGCTGATTTTGCAAAACCACCCTTATTGACATTGGAGTCCTCAACCGCCAAAGGCAAGCGCCAAATTTAAATAGTCGATGCCAATAAAAAAAGTTGATTCATTACAACTCGTCGCCTGAGAACTTGTTTGATTTATAGACCAGAGCGCGCCCAAGCCAATGTCGACTCTAAGCGTTCAGAAGCGATTTGGTTGGATTAGACTATAATTAAAAATAATAATTAAATAACCGAAAATTCGAAAAATCGAATAACGAAAAATCAAGAAATCGAAACTCCCAAATTTAAAAAATCGGATAACTGAAAAATCGAAACATTGAAAAACTGGAAAGTCGAAAAACTGAGAAATCGAAAAATCAAAAGATCAAGAAATCGTGGAGTCGAAAATTCGAACAATTGAGAAACTGAAATAGGTCAAAATCGAAAAATCGGAAAGTTAAAAATTGAGAGATTGAAAGATCCAAAGAACGAAAAATCGAAAAGTGATCAAGTCGAAAAATCGAAAAATAGAGAAATCGACAAACAAAAAGTTAAAAGTTGAAAAATTGCAAAAGCGAAAAAATCAAAAAACGAAAAAATGGAAAACTGGAAAAACTGAGAAACCGAAATAGGCCAAAATAAAAAATTGAAAAAATGATAAATAGTAAACCTGAACAATCAAATCTCGATAAATCGGGAATGAAAAATTAACAAAGCGAAAAATTGAAAAACCGAACATCTAAAACCAGGAAGTTGAAAAATAGAAAGATTAAGAAATATTGATAAAAATTAAAATATCAAAATAATAAAAAATCGAAAATTTAAAAATCCAAAAATTGAAAAATCGAAAAAGTAAAAAAATCTACATCGAAAAATCCAGGAGTCAAAAATCGAAAAATCGAAGAATCGAAATATTGAAAAATTCCAAAACTGAAATATCGAAAAACTGAAAAATCGGAAAATCAAAAAAGTGAAGTCGAAAAATAGAAACCTTAAAAAATCGAAAAATTGATAAATCAAAAACCTGAAAAATCAAAAAATTAAAGAATTGGGAAAATCAAAACATCTATGAATTGAAAAATCGAAGTCAAATTTGAAAAATTAAAAAATCGAAAATTTGACAAAATGACAATTGAAAAACAGAAAATCTAAAACCGGGAAATCGAAAAATCAAAAGATTAAGAAATCGAAACATTTGAAAAATTGGAAAACTTGAAAAATTGAAATATCGAAGAACTGAAATGAAAAATTGAGAAATCGAAAAATCTAAAATTTTAGAAATTAAAAAATATAAAATTTAAAAACGGAAAAAGTAAAATATCGACACATCGAAAAATCCAGGAGTCATAAATCGAAAAGTGGAAGAATCGAAATATTGAATAATCCCAAAACTGAAATATCGGAAAACTGAAAAATGAAAGAAAAACTGAAAAATGGAAAACCTGAAAAATCCGAAAACTGAGAATTGAAAAATCGTAAATTCGAGAAATCAAAAATTGAAAATTAAAAAAAATAAAAATTGAAAAACTGATGAATGGAAAAATTTAATATCGAAAAGTAAGAAAAGAAAAGTCTAAAAACTGAAGAAAGGGATAAATTGAAAACTCGAAAATTCGACTGATCGGTAAATTAAAAAACCTAAAAATCGAAAAGTCGAAAAATGGAAAAATTGAAAAATCGAGAAATAGAAATTAAAAAATTGAAAACTCTAAAAATGAAATCGAAAGTCGAAAAATTGAAAAACGTGGAAATCCAAAAAACGAAAAGTAAGAAAATTGAAAATTCGAACTTCTAAAAATGAACAAATCCAAGATTCGAAAATCGGAAAATCGTAAATTCCAAAATTCGAAAAATCGAGAACTCGAAAAACCAAAAAACCGAGAAATAAAAAAAAATCTAAAAATCAAGAAACTGAAGAATGGAATGGCAAATTCGAGAAATGGAGAAGTATAAATTTGAAAAATCTATAAACTAAATCATGTAAAAATTGAAAAGTCGAAAATTCTAGAAATCAAAAATCGAAAAGCAAAAAAAAAAAATAAAAATAAAAAATCTGAAGAATGAAAAAAATTTAAAATAGAAAAGTAAAAAAGGAAAAGTATAAAAGCTGAAGAAAAGGAAAATTGAAAATTCGAAAGTTCAAGTAATCAAAAATTGAAAATCCGAAAAACTGGAAAATTCGAAAATCTAAAAATCGAAAAGTTGAAAGATGAAAAAACTGGAAAATCAAGAAATCAAAATTAAAAAGCTTAAAACTCTATTTATAAATAGAATCGGAAGTCGGAAAACTGAAAATTCGATAAATCAAATATTGGAAAAATTGAAAAATATGAGAAATCAAAAAGCGAAAAGTAAAAATCGAAAATTCGAACTTCGAAAATTCTAAAATTAAAAAGATCGAAAACCAAAAACTAAAGAATGGAATGAAAAAACTAAATAATGTAAAAATCGAAAATGCGAGAATTCAAAAATCGAAAAGTCGAAAAATGGAAAAATTAACCAACCGAGAAATCGAAATTAAAAAAATCGATTAATTGAAAAATCGAAAAATTGAGTCTATAAATGTCAAATTTGAAAAATTAAAAAATCGAAAATTTGAAAAAACGACAATGGAAAAACAGAAAATCTAAAGCCGGGAAGTCGAAAAATCGAAACATGTGAAAAATTAGAAAACTAGAAAAACCGAAAAGATCGAAGAACTGAAATGACAAATCGAGAAATCGAAAAGTCTAAAATTTTAAAAATTAAAAAATCTAAAATTTAAAAATTGGAAAAATTAAAAAATCGAAAAAGTAAAAAAATCGACACATCGAAAAATCCAGGAGTCAAAAATCAAAAACTCGAAGAATCGAAATATGTATTGAAAAATTCCAAAATTGAAATATCGAAAAACTGAAAAATGAAAGAAAAACTGAAAAATGGAAAACCTGAAAAACCCGAAAACTGAAATATCCAAAAACTGAGAAGCTGAAAAGTTGAAAAATTGAGAAATAGAAAAATCCAAAATGTGAAGTCGAAAAATTAAAGAATTGAAGAACAGGAATATCGAAACCCTCGAAAGTCAAGAAATGGGAAATTCAAAACATGGATTAATTGAAAAATCGAAAAATTGAGATTATAAATGTCAAATTTGAAAGATTGAAAATTCGAAAATTTGAAAAAACGACAATTGAAAAACAGAAAATCTAAAACCGGGAAGTCGAAAATCGATTGATTAAGGACTCAAAATATTTAAAAAATTCGAAAACTTGAAAAACTGAAATATCGAAGAACTGAAATGAAAAATCGAAAAATCGAAAATTTTAAATATTGAAAAATAAAAATATCACAAAACTGAAAAATCTAAAATTTAAAAATCGAAAAATTGAAAAAACGACAATGGAAAAACAGAAAATCTAAAACCGGTAAGTCGAAAAACCGAAAGATTAAGAAATCAAAACATTTGAAAAATTGAAATATGGAACAGCTAAAATGAAAAAATCTAAAAATTTAAATATTGAAAAATAAAAATACCAAAAAATTGAGAAATCTAAAATTTAAAAATCGAAAAAGTGAAAAGTCGACACATCGAAAAATCCAATAGTCAAAAAACTGAAAAATGAAAGAAAAACTGACGAATCGAAAAACTGAAATATTCAAAAACTGAGATTCCAAAGAATCGAAAAATTGAGTAATCGAAAAATCAAAAAAGTGAAGTCGAAATATCGAAACCTTAAAAAAATCGAAACATTGAAAAAACCAAAAACCTGCAAAATCGTAAGATCGAAAAATCGAATAATAAGTAAACTGAAAAATCCTAAAACTGAAATGTCCAAAAACTGAGAAATTAAAAAATTGAAAAATTGAGAAATCAAAAAATCAAAAAAGTGAATTTGAAAAACCGAAACCTGAAAAAATAGAAAAACTGATAAACCAAAAAAACGTGAAAAATCAATTAATTGACAAATAAAAAGTTTACAAAAGTCAAAAATTAAAAAATCGAACTATTTAAAAATCCTAAAATTGAAGAGAAAAACTGAAAACCGAGAAATTGAAAAATTGAGAAATTGTAAAATCCAAAAATTAAAAAATAAATAGGAGTAAACTGAAAAGTCCCGAAAATAAAATCTCGAAAGTTGAAATAGCAGAAATTATAGTCGAAACCGGTTAGGATGTGTCTCAGATTACGGATCATGGCTTATAAATCAAATCGTTTCCGAACGCTTAGAGTCGACATTGGCCTGAGTGCGCTCTGGTCTGTAGATCAAACAAGTTCTCAGACGACGAACTGTAATTCGTGTGACCTGAATTAAAATGAAGGAAACAATAATCAGCTTGTAATATTCCGGTAAATCTAGTGTCAATTTGTCGAAAGTAAAACGCGTCGTTAAAAATATTATGACATTTCTTCTAGTTAATTTTATTCCTAGTTAGAAACAAACACTGTTGCCAACATAAGTCGAGGAGCCCTCAACTGTCATTTAATTTAAACTATGACGCTTCTTTATGTTCTCTGTAGATATTGACAATGTTTATTCGTAAAATTGGTTCTTCTGTGTTCTAGTAGTAGATAAAATCCTGCCGGCGGTGTTTATTGGGTTGCATAAATGTATTTAGTTAAATTAAAAAAATGGGTCGAAATTTGCGCAATCTACCAGAAGTAACAATTAAAATCGGCTGTTAATATCTTCGTAATAACGAATAATGAAATCGTTCAAACAACTGACAAGACAAAAAGGAAAAAATAGAAAACACTTTACTGAAAAAAACAATGCATAGAAATTGTTATAAAGTTGCTTTCTTATCTTATAACAACCACTTCATGTAAAATCAGTCTAATAAATTCTAACGTGCAAGTCAAAGATTAAAAAAAAAATAACTCAAAAATAAATTATATAAAATTCTATATACATGACATAGTGTAAGTTTAAGAGGTAATAAGGTACAAAGTCAGTCTCACATTGAATAAAATTTCAAAAAACCTAAACCTATATAAATAATCAAAAACCAAAACAAATTTAGTACAAAGGATAAATAAACCTCAAAATTTCCTCGCACATGGTATACACCGGAAGACTCCTAACGCACATCGTGTACTCCCTAATCGTCCTAATATTGTGTTTTTCAATCAAAAATCTCCTCATTTCATTTCTCGCTAACTCTTGCAACGAAGGCACATCAGGTAAAGTTGCAAGTTTATCCTCAATTTCGTCGTCCCGTTCTATCGCTAAACAGCGAACTTTTAACTTCGGGAGAGCCGAAAACGAAAGGAGATCAACCACTCCTCTCGGCCAAATCGTGTACCTCGAGAAGTTCTCAACTAACCTATCTAAATCTAAAGTCATATCACAGATCAATGAAGGAACTAATTCTCTATGGGCGATCCTCGCCGATTTTATCACATCCATATTGGTCATTATGGAAAAGAGTTCGCAACAGCCTTGTCTACCGTATACGGTGTGCAAGCACTGTTCGTCAACGTCCATTCCGTAGGACATCAGAAAACACAAAAACTGGGTAACTGTGGACAGTCTCAATTGTTCAGATAGTTCTTTGAACAAATAAGTACTCGAGGAGGTCTTAACACAGTCGATAAAACACGGACTTAGTTTGCTTTGGAACAAAACGTCCAACTCCTCTAGCGAACACTTCGCTAGAGAGTCGTCCAGGAACGTGTAGGTGACAGTATGAAGAGTGAAAGACGTGGAGTGGAAACAAAGCAGGAGTTGTTCTAAAATGGTACTACATTTCGTCGCCAAAGCATCTAAGTAATTCGGCTGCATCATAAACAACTTCTTGATGTACCGATCGTCGCCTTGGGCAAAAACCACCTCGTCACAAGCCTCCAGGACGTCAAAGAAGTACCAACACTTCCTGAACGCTAGCAGGATCAAAGTCCCCACACTAATCAAGGGGTACCTCGAGTGTTTGTCAAAGCAGTACAGAAACATGGTTTCTGCCAGAGACGAACTCCCGAACTTCACGGCAACTTCGAAGTACCGAGGATGATCGTATTGGGACAAAGGGTCTGCACCCCAGTACAACAAACAATGGATTAGCTCTTCATGAATGTACCGCTTTTCTGGTCGGGACGCGGTTTTGGCCACTTGCTTGAAGGGTAGTTCCAGGATGGGTACCATCGTCTTGGGGTTGATATGGTTGACGTTTGCGCCTCTTTTTAGTAGGGTTATTGCGAAGTTGATGCAGCTGCACTGGACTGCGAGCTCTAGGGGTGTTTCGCCGAAGGGGTTTATGTTGTCGGTGGGGTAGTTGGGGAGGGATAACAAGTACCTGAAAATGTTTTTTCTGAAAGAAGAGTGTGTTAGATGGAGATGTTGAAGACGGGGTTACGTACGATTTGGCGACAGTTACTATGTGGAGGAGGTCGTCGTTGCATCTGTACTTCACCATGTCTAGCTTGAATCGGGGGTACCGCTTGACTATGTAGAGGGCGTCGCGGCGTGCTGCGTTGACTAAGGTTTTTAGTTCTTCGGGGGTGATGCTGTAGGGGTGGCGGCTCATCTGAAAGAAAAATAAGGTTTGAGGTTTTTGAAGCTGAAGATTTTTTTGTTGTGAGCAAAAATTTTGGAAAATTAAAAATTGAAAAACCAAGTGGTAAAATGAAAAACACCAAATGGAAACTTAAAAATCGAAAAAACGAAGTCGCGTAAACTCGAAATACTGAAAATAGAAATGGAGAAATCCAAAAATTGTAAAATAAAAAGATTGAATTAAACTAACAATTATAAAGTCGCCAGAAACATTGGAAAAATAAAGAGGACGAAAAAAAAACAAAAATTGCGACATAAAATCCGAAAAATTAAAATTAAAAAATTGGGAAAATGAAAAATTAAAATCAAGAACCTAAAAAATAGGGAAAACAAAGAATTAAAAAAATCGACAAATTAAAAATTGGGAAACGAAAAAATCGAAAAAGTAAAAAATGGACACATCGAAAAATCCAGGAGTCAAAAATCGAAAAGTCGAAGAAACGAAATAATGAAAAATCCCAAAACTGAAATATCGAAAAACTGACGAATCGAAAAACTGAAAAACCCCAAAACTGAAATATCCAAAAACTGAGAATAAAAAGAATCGAAAAATTGAAAATCGAAAGAGAATGAAAAAAACAAAAATTGTGATATAAAATCCGGAAAATAAAAATTAAACAATTGGGAAAATGAAAAATGAAAAATCAAGAACTTAAAAAATTGAGAAAACAAAGAATTAAAAAAATCGACGAAGTAAAAATTGGAAAACGGAAAAATCGAAAAATAAAAAACTGAATCACCGAAAATTTGTAAATCGAAAAATTGAAAAAGTAAAAAATGGACACACCGAAAAATACAGGAGTCAACAATCGAAGAGTCGAAGAATCGAAATATTGAAAAATCCCAAAAGTGAAACATCGAAAAACTGAGAAATGAAGGAAAAACTGAAAAATGGAAAACCTGAAAAATCCGAAAACTGAAATATTCAAAAACTGAGAACCTAAAAAGCCGAAAAATTGAGCAATAGAAAAATCCAAAAAGTGAAGTCGAAAAATTGAAACCTTAAAAAAGTAAAAAAATAAAAAATCAAAAACCTGAAAAATCGAAAAATTAAAGAATTGAAGAACAGGAATATCGAAACCCTCGAAAGTCAAGAAATGGGAAAATCAAAACATCGATTAAGTGAAAAATCGAAAAATTGACAGTATAAATGTCAAATTTGAAAAATTAAAAAATCGAAAATTTGAAAAAACGACAATTGAAAAACAGAAAATCTAAAACCGGGAAATCGAAAAATCGATTGATTAAGAAATCAAATCATTTGAAAAATTCGAAAACTTGAAAAATTGAAATATCGAAGAACTGAAATGAAAAATGGAGAAATCGAAAAATCTAAAATTTTAAATATTGAAAAATTAAAATATCACAAAACTGTAGAATCTAAAATTTAAAAGTCCAAATCTGAAAAAACGACAATTGAAAATCTGAAAATCCAAAACCGGGAAGTCGAAAAATCGAAAGATTAAGAAATCGAAACATTTGAAAAATTGAAATATGGAAGAGCTGAAATGAAAAATCGAGAAATGGAAAAATCTAAAATTTTAAATAATGAAAAATTAAAATACCAAAAAATTGAGAAATCTAAAATTTAAAAATCGAAAAAGTAAAAAGTTGACACATCGAAAAATCCAGAAGTCAAAAATGGAAAAGTCGAAGAACAGAAAAACTGAAAAATCCCAAAAGTGAAATATCCAAAAACTGAAAATCTAAAGAATCGAAAAATTGAAAATTGAAAGAGAATGGAAAAAAAAACAAAAATTGTGATATTAAAACCGAAAAATAAAAATTAAAAAATTGGAAAAATAAAAAATAAAAATCAAGAACTTAAAAAATTGAGAAAACAAAGAATTAAAAAAATCGACGAATTAAAAATTGGGAAACGAAAAAACCGAAATATAAAAAACTGAATCACAGAAAATTTGTAAATCGAAAAATTGAAAAATTGAAAAAGTAAAAAATGGACACATCGAAAAATCCAGAAGTCAAAAATGGAAAAGTCGAAGAAGAGAAATATTGAAAAATCCCAAAACTGAAATATCGAAAAACTGAAAAATGAAAGAAAAACTGACGAATCGAAAAACTGGAAAATCCCAAACCTGAAATATCCAAAAACTGAAAATCTAAAGAAACGAAAAATTGAAAATTGAAAGAGAATGAAAAAAAAAACAAAAATTGTGATATAAAATCCGGAAAATAAAAATTAAAAAATTGGGAAAATGAAAAATAAAAATCAACACCTTAAAAAATTGGAAAAACAAAGAATTAAAAAAATCGACGAATTAAAAATTGGGAAACGAAAAAATCGAAAAATAAAAAACTGAATCACCGAAAATTTGTAAATCGAAAAATTGAAAAAGTAAAAAATGAAACATCGAAAAACTGAAAAATGAAAGAAAAACTGAAAATTGGAAAACCTGAAAAATCCGAAAACTGAAATGTCCAAAAACTGAGAACCTAAAATGTCGAAAAATTGAGCAATAGAAAAATCCAAAAAGTGAAGTCGAAAAATTGAAACCTTAAAAAAATTAAAAAATAAAAAATCAAAAACCTGAATAATCGAAAAATTAAAGAATTGAAGAACAGGGATATCGAAACCTTCGAAAGTCAAGAAATGGGGAAATCAAAACATCGATTAATTGAAAAATCGAAAAATTTACAGTTTATAAATATCAAATTTGAAAAATTAAAAAATCGAAAATTTGAAAAAACGACAATTGAAAAACAGAAAATCTAAAACCGGGAAGTCGAAAAGTCGATTGATTAAGAAATCAAATCATTTGAAAAATTCGAAAACTTAAGAAACTGAAATATCGAAGAACTGAAATGAAAAATCGGGAAATCGATAAATCTAAAATTTAAAAATCCAAAAAGTAAAAAATCCACACATCGAAAAATCTAGAAGTCGAAAATGAAAATATTGAAAAATTCCAAAACTGAAATATCGAAAAACTAAAAAATGAAAGAAAAACTGACGAATCGAAAAATTGAAAATTGAAAGAGAATGAAAAAAAAAATAAATAAAAATTGTGATATAAAATCCGGAAAATAAAAATTAAAAAATTGGGAAAATGAAGAATAAAAATCAAGAACTTAAAAAATTGAGAAAACAGTGAATTAAAAAACCGACGAATTAAAAATTAGGAAACGAAAAAATCGAAAAATAAAAAACTGTATCACCGAAAATTTGTAAATCGAAAAATTGAAAAAATTATAGATGAAAAGACGAAAAATTATGAATCTGAAACATTGAAAAATGAAAGAAAAAGTAAAAATGGGAAACTAAATCGGGAATTAAAAACATTGAAAAATCGAAAAATTTAAAACGACAATTGAAAACAGAAAATCTAAAACCGGGAAGTCCCAAAAAGCGAAAGATTTTAAGCAATCGAAAAATTGAAAAATCGAAAAAGTAAAAAAATCGACACATCGAAAACTCCAGAAGCCAAAAATCGAAAAGTCGAAGAATCAAAATATTGAAAAATCCCAAAACTGAAATATCGAAAACCTGAAAAATGAAAGAAAAACTGAAAAATGGAAAACCTGAAAAATCCGAAAACTGAAATATCCAAAAACTGAGAACCTAAAAAGTCGAAAAATTGAGCAATAGAAAAATACAAAAAGTGAAGTCGAAAAATTGAAACCTTAAAAAAATTAAAAAATAAAATATCAAAAACCTGAAAAATCGAAAAATTAAAGAACTGAAGAACAGGAATATCGAAAGTCAAGAAATGGGAAAATCAAAACATCGATTAATTGAAAATCGAAAATTGACAGTTTATAAATGTCAAATTTGAAAAATTAAAAAAACGAAAATTTGAAAAAACGACATTTGAAAAACAGAAAATCTAAAACCGGGAAGTCGAAAATTCGAATGATTAAGAAATCAAAACATTTGAAAAATTCTAAAACTTGAAAAATTGAAATATCGAAGAACTGAAATGAAAAATGGAGAAATCGAAAAGACTAAAATTTTAAATATTGAAAAATTAAAATGTCAAAAAATTTAAAAATCCAAAATTAAAAATCGAAAAATCGAAAGATTATGAAATCGAAACATTTGAAAAATTGAAATATGGAAGAGCTGAAATGAAAAATCGAGAAATGGAAAAAACTAAAATTTTAAATAATGAAAAATTAAAATACCAAAAAATTGAGAAATCTAAAATTTAAAAATCGAAAAAGTAAAAAGTCTACACATCGAAAAATCCAGAAGTCAACAATGGAAAAGTCGAAGAACAGAAATATTGAAAAATCCCAAAATTGATATATCGAAAAACTGAAAAATGAAAGAAAACTGACGAATCGAAAAACTGAAAAATTCCAAAACTGAAATATCCAAAAACTGAGAATCTAAAATATCGAAAAATTGAAAATTGAAAGAGAATGAAAAAAAAACAAATATTGTGATATAAAATCCGGAAAATAAAAATTAAAAAATTGGAAAAATGAAAAATAAAAATCAAGAACTTAAAAAGTTGGGAAACGAAAAAATCAAAAATAAAAAACTGAATCACCGAAAATTTGTAAATCGAAAAATTGAAAAAGTAAAAAATGGACACATCGAAAAATACAGGAGTGAAAAATCGAAAAGTCGAAGAATCGAAATATTGAAAAATCCCAAAACTGAAATATCGAAAAACTGAAAGATGAAAGAAAAACTGAAAAATGGAAAACTTGAAAAATCCGAAAACTGAAATATCCAAAAACTGAGAACCTAAAATGTCGAAAAATTGAGCAATAGAAAAATTCAAAAAGTGAAGTCGAAAAATTGAAACCTTAAAAAAATTAAAAAATAAAAAATCAAAAACCTGAAAAATCGAAAAATTAAAGAATTGAAGAACAGGAATATCGAAGCCCTCGAAAGTCAACAAATGGGAAAATCAAAACATCGATTAATTGAAAAATCAAAAAATTGACAGTTTGTAAATGTCAAATTTGAAAAATTAAAAAATCGAAAATTTGAAAAAACGA